TATTATTGGAATTATGTGAACACTCTAGAGAAATTCGGGTGAGAACTAAATTCTCCATGTTATTTAACTTTCCAATAAAAATATAGTTTTGTTCTGTGTTTACTTATGTTTAAAAAATTTAATACTTTATGATTATAGATATTTGTGGGTATAGTGGGATATTTAAATACTTGTGTGCAATATGTAACAATTAAAGAAGGATAATTAGTGTAATTGTCACCTCACTTGTCATTTCTCTGCATATTTTGAAATATACAATAAATTATTGTAAACTATGGTCACTTTACTGTGCTATAAAACACTAGGACTTTCTCTTCTTAACTGAATTTTGTACTTGTTAACCAACAGTTCTCTTATCTCCTCTTTCTCATGCCTTTCCAAGCCTCTAGTAATCAATTCAAAACTCTATATCCATGAGATCAATGTTTCGATCTTCCCACATATGAAAACATGTATTATTTGTCTTTCTGTGGCTGGTTTTAACATAATATCCTCCAGGCTCATCCCTATTGCTGAAAGTGATGAGATATTATGCTTTTAGGACTTAATAATATCTCACTGTGTTTATATGACACAATTTCTTTACCCATTCATTCATTAAAAGTCATTTTCTTTTGAGGATATTTCATGTTTGTTTGTGCAGATCCTTCATCATTTGTTAAATTTACTCTTAGACATCTGAATTTTCTGTGCTATTGTAAATACTCTTAAAATCATGTTCATTTTTTATAGAATTACAGTGAAATTTCATACATTAACCTTGTAGTCACCAACCTTTCTACTCTCAGTAATTATTCTAAAACTTTTTCAATATACTTTTTGATTGTCTAAATATACAGTAACTAATTCACAAATAACAATGAATCTGTTTTTAATAACTCTCAAATCATGTCTCTTTTTCTTGCTTGGCTACAGATTTTTAATGCACATAATCATTTCTATCTTGAAGTAAAAGCATGTTCTTTCCCAAAGGTCTTTGTGTGTGACATGTATATAAGTATTTCCTAACAAAACTCAGAGGCAATAGTCATCTACAAATGAAATTTGAACACTCATAAAAATAGCAGAACATCTTCCTAGAGGAAAAGCTTTCCTTTCATAAGCATCATGCGAATTGTTAGACTTTAGGGGAGGACTACAAGGAGGTTGACCATTCCAGACAAAGCAAAAGTTTGAGCAATGCTAGGAACTGGGTGTAAGGACAGAGAACTTGCATGCGAGAAACAGAAAGAATGCCAGAGAAAGACCACAGTGAAGGAAGGCTGGGTTGTTCTGCTATGAGACTGAGAATTAGGCAAGTTCATATCATTCAGAAGCTTCCATCTTGACTACGTGAGAATACCTTGGCCAGAATTTTCCGTCATAGACCAGACATTTCCACATTGTGTTCACTATGAATCATTTTAATCTTGTGAAAGGTCTGTAGGGATAACTATTATCTTTAAAGTCATACCATGGCCCACCTTACTCAGATACTGTTTTTATTGCTGTAAAGAAGTACAAAAATGCTTAAAAGTTTCCATGAAACATGTCTATTTTAAAATTGTACCAGCTTGGCATTTGATGTTTTTTTTCCAGGAATTTAAGTGTATCCACTCACTAGACACACCTCAGTTAAAGTAACAGAGTTGTGAATTGTTTCTGAACATCCACGAGAACAATACTAATTTCTATCTATAAATGAGTCAAAGAAGATTCTGTACACATAGCCTTTTAAACATTCATGTGTCTATACCCTTCTCCTAAGAGAAGAAGATAAGATCTGATTTGAAGTATAAAATACAACTAATCTCATAACGTTAAACACCATCAGCGAAAAATGGAAAAAAGAGTAAAGTGGCCTCATCAAGATCAGAAGTCAGTAGTGTCTGAGAAAAGAAGTTTAAACAGACACTGAAAGCTAAGAGTGAATTAGAACAAGGCATGGGATGAGTGCTTTTACTGTAAGGAAGATACACATACATGAAGGCCGAAAATGAGAAAGATAATTGAAGCTGTGGGACCATTTTGGTATATCTGGGACTCAGCGTACCAAAGCAAGGTAGAGTGTTTATATATTCAAATGGAAAAGCTGAACTGAGTAGGCTCATGGAGGCCTTTTGAGCTGGGTTATGGAATGTGAACTTCATTCTTTAAAGGTAAAAGAGGTTACCATCAACTAAATTTATGTTTGGAAGATCATGCTGGTCACAGTGTAGGCCTCGGAGGTGAGTGTTATTAGGAAAGCGCTCCAGAGAGACTGATGAGCTATTCTGATGATCTAGGGAAGAGATTATCGTGGCTTGGAGTGGGGTAATGTCACAGGAGTTGGAGAAAAATAATCTGATTCACAGTATGTCTAGGATACAAAGTAAAGTACTTGGTGGCTGATTGTGCGTAGTTGGGAGGGAGAGGAGAGCAAGAGGGAAGAGGAAAGGATGATGGGCTGGTTCTAAGCTTCTGGCTTGGGCAATAGAGTTATTTTTATGACTGAACAGAAACATGGAACATGATTCAGACTGGAAAGCAGAGATACCAAGCTTAATTGATAATGAGTTTAGAAATGAGTTAAATGAGTTTGAGGTACCCGAGAAACTCCTACATCCATGGACACTACCATTCTTCTACCATTCTTAAGTTTATAAGAGTGGTCTGGCCTATTTGGGTTATAGAAGCTTTGCAAACAAGTAAAATTGCTCATTGTTGCTGTATAGAGGGAGAAGACAGCATCTACCTTTGCCTTGAAGCATGTGAGACGTACAGGACAGGAAGCCTCTCCTTGATCCCATCCTATTGACATTTATTTGTGTGCAATCACTTTCACCTCCTAAATGCACATTTAAAAAGCTTTCTGTGGATCTATCAGTTGTTCACACATTGCCCTTTTCACTCCTTCTGTTCATCTGCAAGCTTCTTAAAAGAGCTGTCTGCATCTACTTTTCCCATTTGTTCCCAAACTCCTCACCCCTCGCTCTGCAGCATTAGAGTGTTCCCACCAACACATTCAAGCAGTTCTCAAGGCAACCCATGACCTTATGCTTTACTTCTCAACCAGTTCTCTTTGACACTATCTCAGTTGGGCTCCCTCCTACTTTACAGGCTCTTCTAATTTTTTTCCAAAGAATAACAAATACTCTTTGGAGAATTGCTAGTGTTTTATTTTTGATGTCAAACTGAAGTTTGGTGTGGTTAGTTCATTAGTAACTGATTGTAATCAGTAACTGGGCCCAAGTCTGTTTCCTGCACAGCCCCACATTCAAACCACTGTGCTACTCAGTCTGTTTTCTGGAGGGACAGAAGGGGTAACTGGCAATCAAAGGAAGAAAGGGCGGTTTGAGAGGGGAGGGAGAGAGGGAATGTCGGGTGTTGATCACAAGACTGCAGTTCCCAAGGTGACCACTAGAGGACAACATTAAGAAGCGAATGGCCATCCTGTCCCAGTGCAGCTCCGGACCCCCGAGGAAGGCTGTTATGAAGGTGAGCACAGGGAGACCTGCCTCTGCTTCCAGTCACGCCCCTAACTCCATTCCAGTAGCTCCTCTCTTCCAGCCCTGTTATTTCCCTTTTCCCCCTCGACCCTACACACTCCTCTACCCACCTAGTTCCCTAAACTAGCCTTAGAAGAATTGTGTAGGAGTCTGGCACAGTTTTCCCTGGGCTCTAGAGCGGAGCTAAGGTCCCAGTTCTCTCCATGGTGACCTTAACCCTCCCTGAGGCCTCCAGAACATATACTGGTGGGTAGTGGCTGAGGGCTGAGGCACTGATTGCAAACATGCCAGGCTGGAGCAGGGAGGGGAGGGAAGGGAGGTTTGTGTTGGCTTTGGGAAATCCGAGGACTGGGTGCTGTGTAAGGAAGCTGGGCCTTTGATTGCAGTACCCAGCTACCAGGATAGACCTGCCAGCGAGCAGCCTTTCCATGCCACAGTAGCCCGGATCGCCCACTGTCCAGTGACCTACCCCAAGAAGAGTTTCTTCAAGCTTCTCTGAGGCAACTTCCAAGCTTTGCCTTATTCTTTGGCCACAACTGCCCAGTTCCAGCCTCCTACCCTCCACTTAAGAAGCAGAGAGCAAGGGGAATTAATTCAACCAGCAAAAATGTAAAGTGCATGTGTGTAGGTATGGGGGTGTGTGTGTGTGTGTGTGTGTGTGTGTGTGTGTGTGTGTGTGTGT